ATGGAAACACTAGAAAGAAAGGAAGAAGCATACAGATGTAAAGCTCTTACAACTGAATATTCTTTATTTATTTTGTACTGAATAAGGCCATTCTATTTCAATACTTATAAACATTTCCTTTGATTCAAGTTTTTTTTCTTTTAGATGTAGCCCCTTTTTCCAGAAATACTTTATAAAGCAACAGCCAACAGCAAATACTAATTTAATATTTAAAGCATTAGCTAGCATTGCATTGAATATGTGTCCCATTTATAAACACATATGGATGGAAGTCAGGTTCATCCTGGAAAGGGATTGAAAAAATAGGATCAACAACATTCTCTTCTCAAGTTGGTCCTTCAAAAGTCTACCCACACATGCACTGCATGATCGGCATTCTTTGGAGTCATTCTCTGTAATGTCATTCAGCTTTAATAACTTGGGAATTCTTAAGCTTTAATATAAAACAGATACTTGTTATGTTGCATTGGTTTTGCCTCTCCTCTTATCAGGAGGGGCAGTCTGTGAGGATGGCTCTCATAGATTTGTTACCTTATGTCAGGCATGTCCAAAGTCCGGCCTGCGGGCCAATTGCGGCCCGTGTTCCGGTTTAATACGGCCCCCCGGGTAATTTGGCAATATCTATCTTTTATGGCCCCCAACGAATCCATATGTATTGAGATGAATACATTGTAAAATCTCAGTTAAAGTCAGTTGGTCTAAATCAGTTATAAATATATTTGGACACAACATGTATACTTGGTGTTATGTTCCTGTTCATATTTTTTGAACTTAAAAGTTGACAGACAACCTTTATTACCAATAATATGTAATGTACTTTACAATGTTCCTGACATATATTTCAGCTTCCTGGATTTTTTTTCATCTGGCCTTCAGATATGAAAGGCAGAGTGATTTAACACCTGTTTAGATTTGTCATCCATGTGACGAAATGAAAAGTATGCCGTTTGCAATAAACTTTGCATAAAATAGTTAATTTGCATTTAGTTTTAATGGTTCAAAGAATGTCAGGCAAAATGGTCGGCCCTCACGCATGTTCACTTCATCAAATCTGGCCCTCTTTGAAAAAAGTTTGGACACCCCTGCCTTATGTGCTGCCCTTGGAGGTACAGATGGGTCAGAAAGCAGATGTGTCACCTGTCTGCTACATAGATATCACTGCCCTCTGTGGGTGCTTGGAGATCCAAGAGTGCTGGGACAAGCTGTAGAGAACTCCCAGGTTCCTTTCCTTTGGAAAATAATTCCTACATCTGGGACAATCTGGACCTATATATTTACATCAACAATCATGTAGACCCATATGTATCTGTCAGTGCACATTGTGTGAAATTAAATTCACTGAAAAGTTCACTCTCAGTTAAAGATACGAGAGGAAGTTTGCCTTCATTGACATCCTGCACACACATTAAAAGCAAGAAGCAAGACTGCTACTACCCTTTGACACATAAAAGCATGTTGCATCATGTTTCACATGTTTGCATACATTGAAGCACCACGTTTCTTGTTTTTACATTACATTGTACTTAAAAACACAAGAAGAGTTTGGGAGGAGCCTGGAATGTTTTCTAGGTGACATCTATTCCATTTAAATAATGTAAACAAAGAAACTGTTCTCCCTTCGACTTCCCACAGTAAGGATGATGCTAAATTTGGGTTAAGATACTTTGACTTTACGCTATGCCATTAATGTAGCTGAAGTTGAGTATCTTAATTCAGACTTAACCCCAAGTATAGACCAGGGGTTACTGGCTTACTTTCACCTTGGATCCAAAATAATTTTTCCCTGTAGTTTTTCATCGTTATGTTTCGGCCATGTCCAGTGGGTTTTTTTTGTAGTATGTGAGTGATCACATGCATGACAGGAGAATCTAGTGTCATCTATCTCCTAAAGCCCCAAAAGAATGAACAATGGTTTGAATGGTTGTATATGTCATTACAAGTATACAGATATCATTTTAATGGGTGCATTATTTGTAGTGGTGACATGAAAACAATTTCCTGTGCTTTATATGGCAGATTGTATTTGACAGATGATTTCTAACATCAGTATGTACTGGATTGCTGTCATAGATGTACAGTCTTGATCCTGGAAGATACACTATAGGTGAATATTTTTGACTCGTCCGTTGTATATAGGCTTTAGAGTTTTTCAACAACACTAGGCCCTGGTCTACATACTAGGGAGTTATTTCAAAATAACTACTTCTCAGAGTAATTCAAACTAATTACTCCCCAGTAATGCTTCCTGGGGCTTTAAGTCAAGGTTGCATGTGCACATTAAGGATCCATCTACACTGTTTGTTTTTTGTGGAAGAGGAAATGCAAATGAAGCGCTCATTAGCAAATCTCATGCTCTCATTTGCCTATTCTCTTCCAATCCTTTTTGCGGAAGAGGTTTTTGCGAAAAAAAACCCAGTGTGGATGGGGCTATTTTTCGGAAAAAACCCTTTTGTACAAGATCCTGTAAACCTCATTTTTGGAGGAATAAGTGATCTTGCGCAAAAGGTTTTTTTTTCCGAAAAATAGCCCCATCCACACTGGGTTTTTTTTCGCAAAAACCTCTTCCGCAAAAAGGATTGGAAGAGAATAGGCAAATGAGAGCATGAGATTTGCTAATGAGCGCTTCATTTGCATTTCCTCTTCTGCAAAAAACAAACAGACAGCGCCTTTCGGAGCCTGCTTCCGACTACTTTTGAGGCTACCCTGAAGTGTGGATGTACTATTTTGAAATTATTATTTTGGGAGTTGTTATTTTTAAATCAGTTATTTTGAAACAATTTCGTAGTAGACATGCCCTATTAGAATAACTTTTCACATTTGACAACAGCCTCTTTTTCCTTGGGAGCATTTGGAAAGAAATTTGGGTGTGAATTGCATTTCCAAAAACTCACCAAAAATACTTGACGAACAAATGGTACAAATTCTTGTTTAATGCCTGGAATTTCTACTCTGCATCTGAGAGCTGCCTAATATAATGACATGTTTTTAGGCTAGAATGGACCATTGTATCATGTAATGTGACCTCCCTGGAACACAGATCTTTCACCCAATTATTCCTGTTTTGAGCCCAGAAACTTGTGTCTGACTAAAATATATATTCCAAAAAGGCTGCCAATCTTGATCTGAAGACGTCAAGAGAGGGAGAATCCACCATTGCCAGCGGTACTTTGTTTCAATGGTTGATCACCTTGACTGCTTTTTTTTTAAGTGCCTTATTTCTAATCTGAATTTCTCTGGCTTTAATTTCCAGCTTGAGGGAGCTTATGTGAGTAGGTCTCCTTTAACATTCACAGATAAAATCTGCAGTTTTCTTCTCAAGTGGTAACAAAATGATGTCAAAGACACATTTCAAAGCCCCTTATTGCACCAACAGTTCCTGAGTACATTCCATTCTAATTGGCAGCAACAATTTTTTGTTTTGGAATATTTTATCTTCAAATTGCATTGCTTTTGTTCTATTTTTTTAATTGCAAGTAAAAAAAAGCTGTTTGATCAAAAATTGAGTCTAGCTAAACATTTTTAAAAAATAGACTATGCTTTTGTTCAACTCTATTCATTTAAAACTTCTTGAAAACGAACCCGTGAGTACATGAAAATATTTAAATGGTTTAATATCTGTGGAAACCAAAGTTGCCAAGTGACATTTATAGAAAATGGGCCCTTGTCCTGAACTCAGTCAAGTCAGTAGAAGTTTTACCACTGAATGCTAGAGGTGCATGATTGAGCCAAATATGTATTCATCATAAATTAAAAAGAAAATATATTACTATTGCAGATATTGCAGTATATTTCATTGTGATATATTCATTCTTCCTATATTAACAAAGTACATAGCTCCACTTCAATCTGAATAGAAAATATACTTCCCAACAAAGGCAATAAAGAGCTATTTCAGGTAGCATGGTGAATTAGCCTATTAATAAGTCATCTTTAGCAACCACATTTCAATTCTAACTTAGAATGGAAATAAATTTTCCATTGTATTTTAGTCTATAACAGATAACTGTTTGGTTTTCCAGTTGAACCTCTCTGGTCAGGCAACATGCATGGTCTGGCATGACGTTAGTTTAGCCAGATGTCCAGTTATCATGGGTGTGGCAAAGTTTCCCACGTCCCATAAAGTTTGTTTACACCACAAATTCTGGCTCTTAGTATTCTGTGCTATTTTTTTTGCTCTAATCTATCCCTAAATGTCTTCTAAGAGCCCAGTAAACAGTATAAGTGTTGGTAATACAAGTGTTTATTATTCTTAAGTAAGCCCCATGATGAATAATTATGGTTTTACTGTCATGGTAAGTAGCTATTTTCAGTTCATTTCTGACTATGTAAAGGCCATTCAGTATGCTGTCATCTGACCCAGGGTTACATGGGGGCTGATTCCATAGCTTGAACTGAGTTTTTCTCAATATATTTCTTTAGTCTTTCAAATTTGGTGTCTTAAATGTCTTTTTGCTTACACAGGAAATAGGATTTAATTAATAAAGGGCTTTCTGGTTTGTCTCTAGTAATTATGGTTGATATTTAAGAAATCAGGGAAGAAATTTGATATTTAAGAAATCATAATCAGGATGACTAAAACATTATAATTCAGAAAGTGAGTAAAAGGTGATAATTTCTGCAAGTTTATGGGAAAAATAAAAATATCTCTTTCTTATAATAACAGATAATTTGGTGGATTTAATATTTTTGTTTATATTACTTTTTAATTGCACATTATTTTTGTTTTTTCAGCAATGTCTTTTAACCAAAACAGCTTCATTGTCATACTATATACTAGAGATATACGTATATTTTTCAAATAATATTTTGAATTTGTTCTTCTTGACATCTTACGTTTGTGTGCAATTTGCATTTTTTTTTCAAATGTAACAGACTTGACTTTTTTGTGTTACATTTTTTTATTTTTTGGGCTAGTGTTTATTTTTTGCTCTTTAATTTTTGAGAGCCTGCTGTTTTTGAACTCTCTTTTTTTCCCTTTATTCTCCTCACTATGACCCCAGGAGCCAACACAAAGAAAAGCGCAGATGATATAACCAATAATGATCGTGGTGAAGATGAAGGTATTTTTTGTTTTTTTCCAAAGCTCAACCCTGATGCATGAACATAAACTTCTTTTTATTTTTATTATTATTTCAACATGATTTTTCTCCTTATTTGACAAAAGTGCACTACAATGTGCTTCTTTATTTTCTTCTTATTGAAAAAATGTTTCTTTTTTTTCTTTTTAAAATCCAAATTAGCATAGAGATTGCTGCAGCTCCCTTCAGAGATAAATATAAAAGTTGACCCTAAATATGTGTGAAGTAGATAACATATACATATATTTTATTTATAATCACTTCCCTCACTCCTGCATAGGAAAAGAAAATGGAATTTTAAAACATGCATGTGTTCTTCGTCCTTTCTACCGCAAATATATTTTGTAAGTTCACTTTGCTTTATGAAACTCATGAAATAGCACGTTATTTTTACCATGCTTCCTTCTCTCTCCCAGATGCACAAACTGTATGTGAATGAAATTGCTTTGAAACTCATTTGTGGTGTTTCATTTAATTTTCTTATCAGTACATGTTTTGTTACTAGGACACACAAAAAAGGAAGTCTCTTGATGATCTTTCACTATTTTCTCCTGTAATTAGCCAGTTTTCCAAGCCATATTTTAGCTGTCTGAAATCAGTGATGATTTTTTCAACAACCTCCTGGAAAGTTGGATTGGATCCATTGACAGGAAATGCTAAAGTTCACAGGAAGTAGCATTAAAAGTGTTACAATGAGATAATTTTGTTTCCTTCTTTGGTAAAAGAGCTATTAGGATCTCTTAAACATAGAAAGAAGTCAAATAATGTCTCTTTTTATTAATCTTTGCTTTTTACTTAAGTTATACTATCAACTATCATTTAAATATTCATCAGATTTTTTTAAAATGTCTAAATTACTCACATTAGTTACTACCTCTGAGTTAGAGCTCATGTTGCAGCCTTTTTGTAGTTTGAGAATAGCTGGTGGATATAATATAGTGCAGAAATTTAGCCCAAATTCCTCTTATATCTGGCCTTTTCCAGGTGTTATCTCATGTCTTCCTCCTGTGTTCTTTTATGTGAATCCCAGCTCAAATAGCTGTTTTACAGCTCTTTTCTCTGTTTTCTTTAGAATCCTGTACATCACAGTGAAATAAGCTCCTAATCTCAATTTTTCTTGAGAGTTCAGTCCTGCTGTATTTACTCTAACCTTTTTAAGCAGAGTAACTCACCAGTAGCCCTCCATTCTCCCTTCTTCACTGCTATAATATATTGTTTTTCCAGTAAGGGAACCAGAACTAAGCACAGCACTCTTATAGAAGCCTCACTAGTACAAGATTTTATGATCAGTTAAAAGAAACAAAAACATTTTCTATTCATTTATGAAAGGTAGATAAATATGCGACTGTAGTTAATCTGAAAGCCTATTCTGAGGATAACTAATATCCAAACATGCACAAAGGAGGGAATAAATAGCTTATAAACTTTTAAAAATGTATATTATCACTTTAGATATAAACAGGTGACTAGTAGAGTGTGAAGGATTGCTTATCTTCTTTTTTATCTAGCCTCACTCCCATTGATGTCAAAAAGTAAAACTTTCTTTGACTTTAATGGTCCAAGATCAACCTTTAGGTAGCACTTAATAAAAATAAGTGAAGATTAAAAAAAACAATTATTTTACAAGGCTTTATGTTTTTTAAGCGCTGTTCTTGATGTTCTGTTGCCATTAAAACCATTTTGTTTCTTTTATATGTCAAGATCTAGTCTGACTTTGCACAAAAGCAAATGTTCCATCCAGTGTTTCACTAAATACAGTACAATATGCATCATTATGCATTGTACTTTTGTTTAGCTATAGACTAAAACAGAGAACTCCCAAGTTTTAGTCTAGATCTTTACCAACAAGATCGTCCAATTTGTCACTTTGATTAGGCACAATATGCCACTAAAGTCTTTATTTTATTTGGGAACAAAATATTGAAGCTGTACTAGGCTTCTCCTATGTATTAACTCCTAGACAGGTTTGAATAGGAGATGATTTGCCATGTTTTTATTTGGTTAATTTAATGTTAATATGTTGTCAGTTATTGCATTAGGAAATGGAACTTTATACTTTCCACAAAGCTGTCTCTCAGTGGGAGAATGAGAACACTAGGTGAACGGTATTAATTTGTGGTTTATGTATTGGTTTATCTGGATTATCTAGATTTTTTATGTTTTAATAATATCCTAATAGTGACCCCTGTTACTGTGCAATTTAATTTTTTACTGACACTTCTAATTTATCTGACAGTTTAATTTTTTACACAGGTTAGTGCTTTCCCCATATTCTGAGAACATTACATATGAAACTGTATTTGGAAGTAACAAATAGCAAAAAAATCACCCCGTTTTCTCAACTTCTTAAACCCACTGAGCATTTAATGTTGATCACTCTGAAGTGATGCAAGAAAAAGTAGAGGAGAGGAAGCCTAGCTGACTGAAAAGCTATAGCTAAAATTGAAAATATGGGGAAAATAAAATATTTTAATAACACTTTTGTGAAAAAGCAACTGCCTGTTTTGTTTCAACATTTTTTATTACTTTATTGTATCTTCCTTACTTGCATTTTTTTCAGACATTCATGATCAGAACAGCAAGAAACCCGTTATGGTCTACATCCACGGGGGATCTTACATGGAAGGTACTGGAAACATGATTGATGGGAGCATTCTAGCAAGTTATGGAAATGTCATTGTTGCAACCCTCAACTACAGGCTAGGGGTTTTAGGTAAGTGATTCATTTTTTAAAAGAAAAGCACTAAATGTGCATTGGAGTAATTAGATGGAGTTTCCATTTAACTAGCTAATTTGATTAAAATGTTTTATTGCCGATATTATCGATTGATCTATGGCAACTTCTTTTAAGAATATTTTGTGCAATTTTGTGTTGTAAAAGGGAATATACTTGGTGGATAGCTCATAAATCTAAAATGTCATTATGACATCATTTTACTTCCCTTGGTTTAGTGACTTTACCAGTTCTGAGTTATATGTATTTTCATATAAAAATGCCTCTATTTAACATATAAAGAAGGATTGAATTCAGGAAGAAGCATCACTCATCAGAGTTCTAACACTGTGTTAAATAGACAAGAGGTGTTTAGCTTTTGGGGGTGTTTTGTTTTGGCAGAAGTGGATATTTTTATTTTTTCTATAATAATACAGAATATGTTCATTTTGGTAATGTTCATTGCAATCAAAAAGGTCTATAACATCAAGAAGTGATATCAGTTTTTATAAATGCTATGGAATGATTTCTCCACACAAGTGAGTTAATATGTTGAATGACGTTACTTTTGCTGCCCATCAGCGTGGGCAAAGGCAGCCTATCCAATGTGTTGGCATAATTTTGAAATGTTAGATTCAATAAAATGGGTTCATTTGAGCAATGATATTACTGAGCACCGAACTTTTCTTTTTTCTTCTTTCTGTTACTTTGTTATGTTCCCAAATGCAAGGAGCATATTCCATTTTTCAATATAAAATGAAGGCAAACCTTTACTCATGACAGTAGTCTCTTTGACCATCTCTAGAAAAACCATTTGACTGAAAACAATAAAACATCTAGTCTATGGATACATAATTTTTGCTACAGTATACATATCTTCATCTTTTATGACCCATAAGGTAAGTCACAGTGATGTCTCTAGCTGTGATATTTAGTGGGCTCTTTAGTATTATATGTTACTATCAACTCAAATTTGTGTATATTTGTTTTTAGTGTGAAATGGAGGAAGGTGGGGTTTTTTTGTAACTTGTTCATCTGTTGTACTACTGATATGTTTAAGATGTTTAGCAAATAGACAAGCAACAAAAATTTCCAGCTACTCAGGAGAAAGGAAACTTTTCCCCATGCTTTTTCCCTCAATCTGTTCTGTGATTTTAAATATGAAAGAAATGTGTCTTAACATCAGATTCAGCATTAAAACTTAAAGCTATGACTTATAAAAAAGGCTTCAGTGGACATATACAATACAGTTGGGGGACATAAAAGCACGCAACATAATTCAAGCATAAAGAATAGCAAGAAAATAAGTGCACCGTTGTGAAGATGGAGCCCTCTTTTTAACTGCACAGGGGATATAAACTGTGCTCCTAATCCTAGGCAATGGGTTCCCCTCTGTAAGGAATTATGAATGATTGAACAGCTCTCTTTGTAATGTTTAGTTTTTTGTTTCTTACAAGTCAAATTACTCACGGATTAAGATGAAAATATTTTAGAAAAAATATTTCTCACTTTCTGGAAATGGAAGAATCTGCCACATTTGCCTCTATAAATTTGAACCTATGCTATTTCCTATATTTAGATGGAAGAAAGATGAGAGAAGGTGTTTTTATCTTGCTAGGTTGGTATGTAGGCAAAGGGTTATTTTTTTTAATGTAGAGGAGCAATTCATTAGTATGACAATCTAAACAATATGGGCTCATCTACACTGGCCCCTTTTCTGAAAGGGGCATGTTAATTTCACAGGTCGTAATAGGGAAATCCGCGGGGGATTTAAATATCCCCCGCGGCATTTAAATAAAAATGTCCGCCGCTTTTTTCCGGCTTTTAGAAAAGCCGGAAAAGAGCGTCTACACTGGCCCCGATCCTCCAGAAAAAAAGCCCTTTTCCGGAGGATCTTATTCCTACTTCAAAATAAAAATGTCCGCCGCTTTTTTCTGGCTTTTAGAAAAGCCGGAAAAGAGCGTCTACACTGGCCCCGATCCTCCAGAAAAAAAGCCCTTTTCCGGAGGATCTTATTCATACTTCAAAGGTAGGAATAAGATCCTCCGGAAAAGGGCTTTTTTTCCTGGAGGATCGGGGCCAGTGTAGACGCTCTTTTCCGGCTTTTCTAAAAGCCGGAAAAAAGTGGCGGACATTTTTATTTAAATGCCGCGGGGGATATTTAAATCCCCCGTGGATTTCCCTATTACGACCTGTGAAATTAACATGCCCCTTTCGGAAAAGGGGCCAGTGTAGACGTAGCCTATCTATATAAGGAAATGAAAGGGTTTACAAAACATACTTTTGTACTTTAACTTGTTTCTTTTCCTATGTGCCTATAATCTTTCTAATGATACAAATCATGCTATTTTTTCGCAAAAGGCCTATGTTTGAATTGAAAGAGCAAAATGTCCATTCACAATATGCATATAGAACCTAGTACATTCAGAAAGCAAATAGAAGTGGGAAGAACTTCCTTCTCCTTGTACCATTGTGTAATCTGACTGGAGCCCTTGAGAGAATAGGTAGCTTCTGTGAATATATTGGATGGAGAACAATTGGAATGGATGTTAGGTCTACTTCAGAGAATTCTGTATGAGTGCTGGGTGGAGAAAAAAAAGAAAGAATCTGTATTTCTTCAAATAAATGAGCTAATAGAAAAAGTAAGGCTCCTCCTTACTCAACTGTGAAACAAATATCCTTTTCTTTTTCTCTTAGAAATTGAGAGTCATGATAATCTCTGAGGCTATATCTACACAGCTGTGTTATTTTGGAATAACTAACGTTATTCTGAAATAACATAATCCACGTCCACACACAAGCTGTTATTTCGACATAATGTCAAAATAATGAGCTGGAGTACTGCTTACTCCTAAATCCTCATTGTATGAGGAGTAAGGGAAGTTGGAGGAAGAGTACTCTACCTCGAAATAACTGCTGTGTAGACAGCGCCAATAGTCGAAATAAGATATTTTGACTTAAGCTACGCAATTAGCATAGCTCAAGTTGCATAGCTTAGTTTGAATTTAGCCCTGCTATGTAGATGTGCCCTGAATGAGAATGATCTGTAGAATCTATGTGCCCCACATGAACACCAGGGAAAAATATGGCATGAGAGTTACAGATCTGCCCTTCTACCACTTGCTCTCTGAATAAAACAGATTGATATAACTCTGGAAAGGTTGGAACTTACATTTCCTCTTTCTGTCTCTGGGTAGACCTATTAGCAAGTTGGGGAGTGGAATCAAGGTTCTGTCTACCCTTCCTTTGCTCTTATTTGATCACAGTGGGGAGCAGTGGGAGTGAAGGTTGCACTCCATAGGTTACCAGGAGCCGCAGTGTGAACAGCTATAATGTGGTCGTTCTGTAGTTAGGAGACCTTTACTCCTCTCTCTATCATGTTTTGACTAATCAAAATCTATCCCCTATGAACTACCCAGAAATGATAAAAGAGAAAAGCTTGGCTGCGGTCTCATCTTTGGTTTCAACTTAGATCAGAAGGACTATTGCCTTTATAACAATTGCAGTTGAATTCCAATTTTGCAAACCACTTAGGATAATTGTGAATTAAATGGAACAGGGAAATTAGGCAAAATGGAGCTCTGCAGGAACTTAGTTTCATCTCTGTTGTAGCAGTGACATGCTAGAAGTTCAGTAAATGTGGAAGTTTGGATTTTAGATTCAGTAAATCTAGATTTTGGAGTTTTAATTTTAGTTGATTCCTCCTGTTTATAATGCTAGAAGTTATACCTGGCATTTCTTAGATCCTTAATTCAAATACACTTTTCTTCATTTAAATCATTGTTCTTGGGTGAGGTTGGGAAAGAGGGGTTCCGTACGCAGGCTGCTTCAGGGAGAGAGGACTACCCCAGCCCTCTCACTGCAACAGCCTGGGGCCAGGTGAGGTATGTTTGTCCGTGGCTGCTGTAGTGGGCACTGCTGGGGAAGCTTGCATGTCCCCTGTATGGGGGACTGGCAGATACACAGACAGACATACAAACACATATAAACTCTCTGAAATATATAGTAGATAGCTGACTCTTTCTCAGTGTTTGCACCCTGCTGGCCCAATGGGGTTATAGCCATCTGGGTCCCCATCTCTGCCCCCTTGCTGCCCCCTGAGATTATTCTACATATAACTACCTCCTACCAGATACCCCCTTTCCATTTTATGAGAAACAATCAAATTCCAGGAACATCCCATTATCTTGACATAACCAATCCCTTACCGTACTTTAAGTTATGATAAGAGGAAGCTGCATACCAAATTTGGTGGTCCTAGCTCTTATAATTTAAGACAAGTTCTTGAACAAGCAGACTCACAGATGTTTGGACAGACAGGTATACAGTTCTAAAATATATAGTAAGATGAAACTTTTGTTTTAACAGGAAATGTGATATCCTTCCCTACCTATAAATTCTTTGTATTCGTGACTTGTTTTCAATATTACATGTAGCAGATATAGAGTGGGGATTACTACTATTAGACCATGTCTATACTAGGGGTGCATCTAGACTACATGGCTCCGTCAGCGGAGCCATGTAAAGTAGTTTACTCGACATAGTCAATGAAGCGGGGATTTAAATAATCCCCGCTTCATTAAAATAAAAATGGCCATCGCACTGTGCCGACAATCAGCTGATCCGGCACAGCGCGGCTGTCTAGACGTGGCGCAGTCGACAAGAGATGCCTTTGTCGACTGCTGCGGTATACCTTGTGAAACATAGGCTTTCCTTGTCGACCGTGCCACGTCTAGACTGCCGTGCTGTGCCGGATCAGCTGATTGTCGGCACAGTGCGATGGCCATTTTTATTTTAATGAAGCGGGGATTATTTAAATCCCCGCTTCATTGACTATGTCGAGTAAACTACTTTACGTGGCTCTGTCGATGAAGCCATGTAGTCTAGACGCACCCTAGAAAATTATTTCAAAATTACTAAATTCGACTTAAGAACTCTCAATTTAACAAGTTCAAATTAGCACGTCCACACTTCAGGGAAGCCTTGAAATTAGGCAGGCT